ATGTTCTGCATGGCATACACTGTGTTTCTGCAAGAAAACAAGGCTTTGTTCAGTGTCAGAAGGCAGAAGCCCTTTCATAGAATCATAATCATATCTACAGTTAGAGGTGGAAATATGCAGAAGCAAGCAAGGGCAATGAAAACACTTATTATTATAAATGCAATCACATGAGTTCAGTAGAGTAATTCTTTCATTTGATGTTAAAAACGCAGAAACAACCTGCATTTGGGGGAGAGAGAGAGATTTTTACCAGATCAAAACAGCAGCACATATTTGCATCTGTTGTGCTACTTTGTTTACCAGAATACTTCAAACAAAGCATTACCATTTCAAAGCTGGTCAAGTGTGTGTTATTCGCCGTCCACACACACAGAAAAACAAGATGAAATTGTGTTTGTCGGTTTGATTTCTTTATATATTTACTCGCTCGCCCGCAAGCAAGGAATCCGCTTATCTTTGCAAGTGAACTTGTGCTGACTCTCCCATGACTTGCATAAAATATTGAGACATATAATGGCCTAGTGTGGATAAGAAGAAGCCTCATGCTGAGTGGACGCCTCATAAGAGACACTCTCCAGAAGAATTAAAGGCTCTTCTGTCACTCCTAACAGTTTCTTTCCACATGTGTTGCCAATCAAAAAGCCCCCAGGTCAACTTCTGTTTTCAATCCAGCTCTTTGACAGCCCGCTTGAAAAGGTAAAGGGTCCTGAATGTTTCCTGTAGCATGTGTGTTTGTGTGTGTGTGTGTGTGTGTGTGTGTGTATGTGAGTTTAGGATTTGACAGGTCCCATTACCTTCAGTGCAACTCACAAGGGAATGCCTCACAGTTGCCCACAAGCTTATGTTTCCACAATAATGTCTTTAACGGCAGTCTGCCTTTAAGTCCCTTTATAGTACGACATCGTGTCATACAAGCGAGAACAAACACCACCACCAGTTTTTACAGGCCCAAATTACACCAGACTAAAGCAGCGATCTTACAAAATGTTCCGAGGCTTCAGAGGAGACACTGTGTAATGAAGCCGTTTTTTCTGTGTAATGAAGTTACATCATGACTTAGACAGAAACCCCAAATCTGTTTCATGTGCTTTGCTGCAGGTTTCACGGCGACCTCAAATCCCACTGAAGTGTCAATAAAATGTTCAAGTAAAAACATCAAACTTTAAGCTTTCACAAGGCGCTGACTCTTTGCACATGCGAAGGCTTGTTATCTTGATTGTTTCTCCTCAATTGTGGGGAAGTCCTGTCCTCCATGTCGCCTTCAGGGCTGTAGCTGGTCTCAGGCAGCGTGTGACACTCCATGGGTGGCAGGATGGGAAAGGGCCTCAGGTTTAATTGGCACAGGAAGAGGTGGCCTGTGGGGGGGACTATTGTAGCCTGAGAGGGGCCTAATATGGCCCAAGGAGACTTAATTTCATGGTGTTCCCTGAGATCAGGGAAGTCAGGGTGAATAAATTGTGCTATGACAGTCGATGATTAACATGTGCTGGATAGACAAACAAGTCCTCCAAACCCAACAACCACATGGATTGTTTGTTCCCTTACTCTGATGCAAACCACAAGACAGTTTCTTTATTCAGCTCCTGTATCAGTGGCAGGCCCAACAAACCATCATATCAACAGGTTTGTCCTGGACTAATGCCTGGAACATGTGGTTAACATTGTGATATGGTTGTGCTTCAGTTAAGTTTACAGACCAAAATAACTAGGTTATGTTTTAAAATAAATTGTGGGTTTGGGTAAAATAAAAAACAGCAGTAGTTAGATAAATTATGTGGGCAGCTGTGGGTCAGGGGTAGATTCGGTCATCTCTAAACCACAAGGTCAGGGGTTCGATCCCCAGCTCCTGCAGCTACATGTCCGATGTGTCCTTGGGCAAGACACCTAACCACAAGTTGCTCCCACTGCTTTGGCGGCGGTGTGTGAATGGGATTATTTAAAACTGATGGTCTTTGTACATAGTAGCCTCTACCATTAGTGTGTGAATGTGTAGGTGTGACCTTAGGTGTAAAAGCGCTTTGAGTGGTCAGAAGACTAGAAAAGTGCTATACTGGCTGAAGTCCATTTACCATTTGCTTTGGGTTGTGACCAGAGTGATATGATGTTTATGACACAGGTGCTGTAACATACAGGATCAAACTTCAAAGAGGTCAACATTGACCTTTGGTGTCACACAGGACTTTACTTTGGTTTTAATCATCCAATGTCCTGAACTGAATATAAATGCTCTTTATCCATCTACTTCTATTATTACTACTTGGGCCACTACAGGTGTTCGCCTCACTATAAGGATAGATATGTGCAGTGAATAGCAGTTCCAACCTTAGTCTTTTATTTGTTTTATTTAGAACAGTCTCAAATATTGACAAAAATCTTTATTTTGTTAGAAAAAAAACATGTACTGGACCTGTATTGAATATGAAGCCATTAAAAACATTGTCTGACCTTCAAAGTGGTAGAAAAGTCTCTATTGATGAGGTAATTTCTACAATGTAGACCGAGTTTTATATATATGTCAGTCATCACAGTTTTCAATTTCCCATAATAACGGGCTGCACAAAGGTTTAGATCATCATTTTTCTAACAAAGAGGTCCATCTCTTTGTTCTTCCTCTGGTCATCTTTCAGTAAGCCATTTCATCTGTGACTCTCTGCCAAACACACTCACACACACAAACACCACTCTCTTCTACACACACATCATAGAGACCAGTCTCTCCTCTGATACACGCACTCACCAGATGTTGCCCAAAGCTTTGGGGGAAGGACCCCCAGGTGTGCGTGTGCTCATGTCAGCCTTCTACAATTGGCTTTTCTTGCACATCTGTAAGATTTATGACCACAGTTTTTTTTACGACACCAAAGTGAGCTTCCTCTTTTGAAATCCCAGTGGGGCAGCAGATCAGGGATCAGAGGAAGAAGCAGGTTCCTCAACCCAAAACAGGTGACTCCAACTAGGCCTCGACATGCTGAAAAAGAGGGTTAAAAATATGGTCTCCCAAATCCCAAGGCATTTTTTATCTACTGGCACTTCACACGAATCCCATCTGCTTCTCATATCGACATGCTTGGACTTGCCAACAAAGGGGTCTACTGGTCTGGCCTGCAGGGGTCAAGAGGACAAAGAGGAGTGAAGAAATCAAACTGGCTGAATGAACGAGTCTGCCGTTGATCACTGGAAATTGGCTGAAGGTTTTCATCAAAGAGTATTATATTGTGGGGAATGCAAAAGGGGGATATTAAAGACTCGGCGGAGCTCTTTCAGTGTGAGTAATGATCGGACGGAGCGAGGCCAGAGACAGCTTAAACGATCCCTCAGGCTTCAAAGTGTGAAGGGTGCAAGATGATACAGCATAGTACCCAGTAGGTTACATTCTGCATTGTGTATCGTGATAGAATGAAACCTATGGTATTTTGATAGCTTCACATTACCTCTATGAATATGTCTGCTGGATTTATGTCCCTGATATCGGTTTAGTAGTGATGATGTAATGGTACATGAGAATAAACCTACGGGAAATACAGCTATAGTGAACGTTTTATTGACTGTTAAAGATAATGTTTCTCCATATTACATTGGCTCTGTAACCATAGCATTTCTAAATCTGGAAGGGGCCATATGCTTCCTTCATTATTTAACTCCTTCAGACCCAACCTCTGTAAGTGAGGCATGCACCCAAACTAATTGATAAACCCATGATCGCTACAGTCAAAATGAGCAACCTTTTTTTTGGGTGCAACCCCTCCATGTGTGTTTTTATGGAAATCCATCAAAGAATGGTTGTCCAATTTGCACAACTGGGAGAAGAATAAGTATTTCCACTAGCTATTTTTAAGTACATGACTTGCAAAGAATTCCCATTCCATGATTTGACTATGGACCCTAAAGCAGTCCTGACATGAAGTGTTGATACTAAGACAACCTTAACCAAGACAAAGTCATGATTAAGATCACACTGAACCATGGAAGTGACAAACCCAAGAGTTTTTAGGCATTGGGGCCGAATTAAGAAGACCTGAAGGCCACTGCATGGCGAGACTGTGTCGAGTCCAAGAACCAGCCAATGCAAGTCCCACATCACGCAAGAAAAACCTGCCAGGTGGTACCTGTAGGTTAGATTACTTTAATTATAGAATAGAATAGAATATTCTATTATTTTCTATATTCTATATTCTAATATTCTATAATTATTTTTTATTACTTAATCGTATCTTTAATTACTTATAAACAAAAAGTGCTCTGCCTCTGGTCACTTCCTGTCAGCAGTGTCCAGTCCGACTTAAAGCTGTTTGTTTGCACTTCCTGACGTTGTTTCCTCCTCATTAAATCCTTGTTTTTGTTGTACTTCCTCTCTAATGTTATCAGATGATTGTATTATTTCTTATAATATAATTTGAACATGCATGAGATTGAGTTTCTGTTGTTTGTTGAAACTTTGTGTTGCTGCTCTTCTTGGCTTTGAAAAAGAAATCTCTGATCTCAATGAGACGAACTTGGATAGATAAAGGTGAAATATAAAATAAATACCAGCAGATGTTTTTTCAGGTTACACTGAATAATAAGGCATGGAGATTAGAGAGAGACGAACAGACAGGCAGCAGGTTTGTTTCACTGATGAGAAACCTGCGTTTTCAGCTTGTGCCAGTATACGTAGCTTAGGAAGAGGTTCAACTTTTGTCAACCTTCCCTCGGCTATACGGGGAAGCGCTCAGAAAATCCAGATTTTTATTGACTGAGACTTATTTTCACCAATTAAAAAGCATGAAGACGAATCTGGTACCCAGATGGCTAAAAGAGAGGTTTGTTTGATATGCCTTCTGGGTTCAACTAAAGTTCATAAAACTGTGTTTCACTCTGAATTCTTACATCAGTAACTTCACATCCTAAAAACTCCTCAAAAGATATTCATCACCTTCCTTTTACTGCACATATTTGGCTGGTGCGTTATCAGATTTGGAATAAGTTTATGAATGTTAAAGGAGCACAATCAAGGGAAGATATTGTTACAAGAATTTGAGATTACTCTCAATTTATTCACTGAAAAATCATATTGTATGTACAGAGAAGGGCAGAGTCAGTACTTAATGATACAGTGTCGTAAAAAGGGGAAATTGCACTGTGCTTACATATTAGTCTTTTTTTTCACCACCATAGTACCATATTGTGGATAATAAAACACAGTGAGGGATGGTCATAAACACAAAATGAAACAATAACAATGTATTTCTCATTTCTCCCAGGATAAAAAAAAAAACACATCCCCGAAACAATAGCTTTATGGGAAGAATCCCTTTGTCACAGGGATAGCACACAAACATTAATTACACAACACAAATAATAAACGTGCATTATGGGGATATTATCAAATTTGCATATAATGAGAAAAATCATTACATATTGCAGGCACTTGAACCCTTCCCCAGTTCATGATGAGATTCAGAAAATAATGGAACCATCAGTTGAAGCAGCTGCTTTTCTCAGAGCAAAAACACCGCCATGCACACACAGCCACTTACAGGCAAACCAACCCAACCCAGACGTATTCTTTAAAAAATGTCTGAGGCTGACAGCACATGAAGGAGATAGATGAAGAGAAGAGGAAGATGAGACAGCAGGGGCGAGCGCTGCCTTGTTGGTAACCTCCTGTTTGTAGTGCAGACTCCGAGGAATAGTTGTGATTACTCCATTGACTGAATCATCTGCAAGGTCAGGCCTCCCATCTACTCTCCCTCCTACTCCTCTGCTTGTCTCCCACTCAGCCGCCAAGTGGCTGCCAAGACATATTCAGAGACATATTGGAGCGTCCAGACACTGGCAGCACTCACAGACACTTAAACACATGTCCACCTACACACAAACACACACGCATACAAAGGAACATTGGCGGTTGAACAAACACGCAAGTCCACTTTGGTATTTATTATACCAAAGTGTTTGTGTGAGGACGCTTTTCTTTTTACGTACTTTTGAGGACCATTGAAGCTCTACCCCAATAAAAAAATCAATGTATCCTACTCACACTCCAAACAGCCTTATACAATCCATTAACTGATTTTTGAGATAAAGAGGCAAAGGCTCTAAATAATGACTTTAATAATGAGATAAAGGCAGACATGAGCCTTGGTCAAACTGGCACAAAACTCCTGAAGTCTTCAATGTGCACGTGTGAATGCAAACAGACACATTTTTCACTCTTGACTGTCACCAGAGTTTCTCCTTCCAGAGTGAGATGATGTGAGAATTTAGCAGGTTATAAAAGGAGAGAATTCCCCTCAAGCCCAAACAGACGCTAGCTTATCGGACGCCAAAACAGGGGCCTGAACAAAGTCTCAAAAATGAAAGACATGGGGAGGAAAGAGTTGAATATTTCCGGGATACAAATGAAACTGTACCTATTGTCAGATATCTCACAAACCTTGGATTGGAGCTGCATTCAGCAATCATTTTTCACACTTACAGGCTGAAATGGATCTTAAGGTAAACTATACCAAAAAATAATCTTAAATTTGGTCTTCAAAAACGCAGCCTCAAATTGCAAAAGTCTTAACAAGCAAGTGTCAATCTTGTTCTCAAATGGAAATAGAAGAACACACACACTTGGCCTTTTACACACTTTGAAAAATGTACCAATAATTGTTGACTGAACGACAGCAAAAGCTCCCGACTGGTTTCCTACCAAAGGACATGATCATGAAAGGAAACAAAATCAGCTCCATTGTATCAGGCTGTTTGACAGGCTGTCGCCCACTGCAGAGCCGATGTGGTTTCCCGTGTGACCAACCTGATGAAATATTCAGCTTGGAACAACTCAGACACCTAGGGGGCCAACAGGCTTTGGTTACAGCCAAATCACTGTTGGTGAAGCCCAGGCCAGAGCCCCGCCTGCAAGGTCGCTGGTTCTTCTTCTTCACTACACATGACAACATATAAACACACCAAAGGGGGCCCCATTCATTATTAATGTGGAACATTAATTAATAACCCAGACCTGACCCCATTTATACTGCTGGATTCCCTGGCTGGGTAACACAGGGTTGGAATGAAGATCTAAAGCTGTTTTCCACAACATGACACATGAAGGCGGGGAAGGAGATAAATAAGCCACCAGAGGATGAAAAAAAATCAGGATTATCATATTGAAAGCAAGAGGGGGGGTTGTGGTTATACCTTTGTATCTGAAAGAAATATGGATATTTCTCAAAATTGAAGGGGTGTAGAGGGTTCCTAAAGGGTTTGTGATCGGTCAGGCCCAAACTCCAATTTCTGACTACACAACCTGCTTAACCTCCACTCTCTGTTTCTAAATGTCTAACAACACTTTCACACACATATGCACACAAATAACAAACTCACATAAACATATAGACCCAATCTCCACACTCTCAGACTCACATACTTTGTGGTGCATGTTGTTAATAGCGACAGGGCTCAGTGCTGTCTCATTGTCAAAACGATTGAGAGCAAAAGTCCCAGATGCAGACTTTTCAATGCCAAACTGTGTGATTCTGTGAGGTGGCATCGCTGCAGACATTTCGGGTGGCCTTCTACATCTACATAGAAAGCAGCCAAATTGGTGGCTTACATTTTTCTGCACTACCGAAAAAATTGGCTGTTTAAGAAGAAATATGCTAGAAAGTGTCTTTGGATGTGACAGTCTCTTGGATGGGTTGGGGTTATTAATTTGAACATTTTAGTTGTCAGTATTTGCAGGAAAATATCCTCACCGTATTTACACATGAGCATGTTGTTCTTTATATTTAGGATGTTTGCTTAAATGTATAAACACAAAATACAACCAAGAGCCGGGAAACACAGGAGCTGGTGTGGCAAGCATACTTCCTTCAGACTTCCTGTAATGTCAAAACAGGGAATCTTGTTTTTTAACATTTCATGCCCTCATGAACTCTACACTTGGACTGTAGTTGTATAAAAAGTCTCCATGCAAAGCAACAAAAAAAATTAAAAATAAAACTATCATTCACACAAGACTGGCACATTCACAAAAAGAACATCGGTCCCACGAGCAGCCAAAAAACATATCTGGTGGTGTCTTGTGTTTTCAGTTTCGATGTGGTTGCTGCAGTGATGGCTCAGCTGGCCTTCTGCTGGGACGTCTGCTATGCTGAGTGTAATACAGCTGCTCACTGATGAAGGGGGGGGGGTTATACAAGTTTAACAATCAATAGACTAGCAGGCACTTATACAAATAGTTAGATGATCAGGAAATCAAAGACATCTTAGTGATATAACTAAAAAAGAACAATCGTTGGATTCATTAAAAAATCTTATTTGAAATATTAACATGTTTCCAAGTCCCATAAAAATCTTTGTATTTTAGCATTTATTTAAAAAACGAAGGCTCACTGCCCTCTCTTTGTGTTCCCCTCCTGTTAATGCTCCTTAGAATCCGTCCTTATCTCTCAAAAGTTAGACTTTCCGCTTCATGTCCCCGTCTCAGGAGTAGAACAGCCTCCCTTTCTCTGAACCCTGCAGCCTGCTGAGCTTGGCGAGCTGAGAAGGCGATGGGGGGACGTCTTGTCTGTAGGGGCCCTTGGTTTGAGGCGGGGCCTGCACCAGGGCGGGGCCCGGGGCCTGAGTGTGGCCTCTGTTGTGGTCGTAGGTGCTGCCGGCGGGGTTTTCCTGTGCAGGGGGTGGCAGGGGCCTGGCCTTGTTGGCCTCCTGCTCTCTGCGTCTCTGCTCCTGCCTCAGCAGCTCCTGTGTCTCTAAGAGGACGCGTGCGTTGAAGCTGGACGTTCCCAGATAGCCGTTATGCGATCCCTGGCCACCGGAGTAGCGAGGATTCTCCTTGGATGGCTGGAATCCCTCTCCTTGCACATGCACCTTGTCCCATGGGTCCTGCGACGCTGTGCTGGGGTTCTTACCGGGTTGCCTAAGCACACAGACACAGGTAAAGAGGTCAATTGCACTGTTGAGTGACTCAGCTTAAACAGCTCCCAAACCTAAAGGGAGCAGAGGATAATAGCAAGTGACTCTACTCAGAGAAGATTGCTTTTTTTCTGTAGTTGCCCCTGGGTCAGCACTATTGAAGAGAAATTCAAAAGAAACCGGACTACAGCAGAGAATACATCCATTTCCACATTTTCTGAAAGATTAAAAGGGTAATGTGGTAGTGGCATTCATTTAAAATACTTACAGCGATGTGAGTGGACTAAAGAGGGATCTTGTGAAAGTCGTGCATGATCACAATGAATGCTGTGACATAAAGACATGAAAGAGGGAGAGACAGAAGGCGGAGGCCTGAAATGCCCACAGGAGTATTAGTTCCACATTGTAAACAAACACAAATGTTAAAACCTTGCTTGGGAAAAATGGCGGCTTTTATGCATTTAACTCCCCTGTTTGGAGATTGCAGACGGGGTGCACTTACAGCACAGACAGGGTAATGGCAGGCCTCACAGTGTTATCTGCCTTGTACTTAACTTCTGTCCACCTGCCACTGAAAGGACAGCCCGACATGCAGGAAACATTCGGTATCTCTTCTGACAAAACGCATGCACATCTCGCATTTCGACCAAACATGATCCCCCCTTTTTTAGAAATTGGCCTTGGAAAGCAATCATTGCATGGAACAGGCAGTTTTTTTTTTTTGTCTGATGTGTGGAGTCTGCTCCTCCATTATTACGATCCATTAAGTGTTGCCATGTGATGGAAGACCCGTGACAGTGTCTTTTGTGTCAGTGGTGCTAAGAGAAGTCCCATTTACACCTCAGTGACCCGCTGTGTACTTAAAAGGCTTTTGAGTTTATGGTATACAAGGCTGCCGAGGGAGACGGGGGGCACCAGCATACTTTTAGGACAAAACGCCGGCATGTTTGTTCAGGCAGAGCGTCATTCCAGAGAGGATGACCACATCCAAAAAGAGAAGAGGGCTATTCATTGTTGAATAAATTGTGTTTGTGAAAACTACTTACCGACATCAATGAGGTGAATGGGTTTGTATTGGACAAAAATACAGTAAATTGGTACCTTGAACGTTGAATTTGATGTATGTGCTGCAGTACAGAATGAAATGAAAAAAAAAAAACTTAACATATTAAAGTTGAAAAACATTTTTTTTTTTTTATTGATTCCTTGTTGCACTTTATGGTATTCCTAGTGTTTACCCAATTAAAACTATATAGCAGGTTGGGAAAAAGATCATTTTTTGCTTTTAAAAAAAAAAAAAAAATTAGATCCACAACTACGTAGAAATAAGACCAGTTTATAAATAAACACCAGACTTTACCTTTGAGCATGTTGAAGAAAATCATAATTGCTGACTTTTGCTGACTTTTGAAAACCCTTAAAAAGCTGTCTCAACGTTTAACAGTTTAACACCATGAAGCTTCTCTTCAGCAGCTAGACAAGCAAAAATAGTTTCTCTAAAGGAGAAAAAGTAATGCCATGAGGGCCTTAACTAACTTGGGTCTACATTTATATATGCATGTGCAAGTGTGTGTGCTCTGTATATCCCAACAAACAAAGTAGCTCTGCTTTAAATATGTGTGTATTTGTAAGTGTTGCATGCATGCATATAGAGCATGTGTAAGTACGAGGGTAATTGGCGAGGGGCAGATGTAGGGACAGACTGCAGAGAGAGCCCCACCACATGCTCTGTATCAGGGCTCTGCTGTCCGGGCGAGCAGCCATGCATTTACACTCCGGCTCGGCTTACAGAGCAGCCAGCGCCGCTCACAGGGTAGCCGCTTGTTCAGAAATCCCCAGGATGCCTGTCGCACGAGGCATTGATCATGGGCGTTCAGACTGACCTTTCAGTTCGTAAAAGCAGATAAGAGAAGAAGCAAGATTTAGTGGGACAAAGTCTTTGAGAGTGGAGGAGGAGAAATGGCGTTGTTCCACAGGAATGTAATCGTGATCAATGTGTCAGGGGAGCTAGTACTCTTATCACCTCGACTCCTGCGCTGCAGTGTGTCACACAGTGGATTAGTTATACTAACAAAAAAGGGAGGGGATGGGAAAAATACATCATGCCAAAGAGTGGGGGTAAATTTAGAATGACAGAACATAACAAACAAAGCCAGGAAGTTGGCTCGCCGAAAAAATCTGTGGCCGCTGTGTGTTTCTTGAAAACAGCTGGGAAGAATCAGAGTTTATGAGAAGAAGGAGAAAGCGCACAAAGTCATGCCAAAACACAAAATGATTAGGAGCAAAAACATGTGCAGTGGAACAACCATTGCTATTTGTTTAAATAAATAATCCACAAACCTGCAATAATGTTTTCTTAATTGTGTGGAACAATGTTGTTTTGGCCAAAGGGCTTTAAGAGCTTCATGGGTAGATGGAAGAGCTACTGGCAGCTCTCTCAGTCCTCCATTAAGACCCTTATCTTGACCGCATTCATGTGTGTGTGTGTGTGTGTGTGTGTGTGTGTGTGTGTCTGTGTGTGAGTGTGTGTGTGTGTGTGTGTGTGTGTATGTGTGTGTGTGTGTGTGTGTGTGTGTGCGTCTCTTTCCGGGCTAATCAGTGGTCCCACCAACACACTCGTTCCTCTCTTGGCCCCTCTCACCCTCCACTGCCTGTCACCGCTAATCCTGCTCAGACAACAAGCCTTCATTAGAGCTCTTCCAATCCTCACAACCCAGACAGCGGGCTAAGCCTGCGCCGTCATCAGATAACCAACTACCATGGCTTCTTCTGGAAGCTCTTTGGGTACGAGACGTTTTTGTTTTTTTTTCCGTGAAGGAATGTCCCATTTTGTCTGAATGGCTGACTGCTCACGCTTCCTGTTTCTTGGAAGAGAAGCACAGGATGGAAGAGGTTCCAAAAAAGACGAGGTGGTCGGAGTTTGAGGGGAATTGTGGTTATTAATCTGGGGATGTGAGATTTTAGCTTTTTTAATGAGGAGCTGTGGCGAGACACCAAGCTCTGAAAAAGCCTTAACCCGGGGGTCAAACGTCAAGCCTTAGCTCATGCGACTCTTTGCTAAATGACGCTGTGAGATTACGGGGAGGAATGCATATCAAAGGCCGACCTCGCCTTGCTTTAAAAGCCGCTCAGACAAACTTTCCCAAGAGAAGGAACTCGCTGAGAGGGGAGGAAGGGCTGGATGCAACTGTCACATCACATGAGATGCCAGGAGATAACACCTATGAAGGGAATGCATAGATCGCTCTGGCTTATACGGGCCGCATTGATTATGCGTCCATGTGGACCACAAATCCATAGCCATGGACAGGAACATGTTTTAATCGACCCGGCTGTTCAGAGACGGCAGAGGAAAAGAGAATGCTATGAAGAAGTGATTGGTGTTTGTGCAGAGAGAGAGAGATGAAGTCACAGGAGAGCAAAGTAACTGCAAGCCAAGAAAAGAAGACACACACACACACACACACACACACACACACACACACACACACACACACACACAACACACACACACACACACACACACACACACACAAACACACACACACACACACACACACACACACACACACACAAACTGTGATCTCTTTGTTTAAATCTGGCAAAACAGACAAACTTCAACAAATCAGGGTTCACGTTCAACATGTCATATTACAAGTAGCTCTTTTCAGACGGCTTCTTTTTTTAAATTGTCGTAACTAAGCTCAGCCGTCATCACGTCTTTGTACATTCATATTGATTCCCAGTCTGTGAATTCACATTGCATCTTGGCATTGCTGAAGGACGGTACAGCGGGAGGGTCGGGGGTTCGATCCCCAGCTCCTGCAGCCACATGTCCTATGTGTCCTTGGGCAAGAAACCTAACCCAAGTTGCTCCCTCTGCTTCCTCAGCGGTGTGTGAATGTGTATAAATGATAATAGTTACTTCAGATTGCCCCTTCACTCAGCAGCTTCCACCATCAGTGTGTGAATGTGTAGGTGTGACCTGCGGTGTGAAAGAGCCTTAAGTTGTCAGAAGACTAGAAAAGTCCATTTACACACACACAGCGCTGTGCTCCTCTGACGGCTCTGCTGGAACCTTCTTGTCTCTGTAACACCTCTGTTACCTCAGAGGGCGAAATGTCACAGGGATGTAAATACTGTGTCTTTAACTGTCATGTCTTTTTTTTACTAATGTTGAAATAGTTCACAAGGAGAACATTTTTTTTTCTTAATTGCTTACTTTAAATCTTTGTGTCAGTCAGTCAACATATAGACCTTGTGTCTTTAGTGACTTTCTCTTCGAGGATGTAAGGCTTAAAATGTGGAACTCTTCCAGCAGCAACGGGTGTCTTTGTGATTTGCATCGACTTTAGAGCGATTAGAGCGCTTCTGAGGATTGGGACACGGATGCACACATACGGAATGATGTGAAGAAATGCAAATACAGAAACTAAATTCTTTCCCCCGCGATGCCTCCAGATGCAAGATATGGTAAGCTTTATTGGCATTTCTTTGACTTCTATGCAAAAGAATGGAAACAGAAAGATAAAGAAGATGGATATCAGCGGTTGTGGCTTTGAACTCAAACACTGCCAAAGGGACAATTCATTTTTCAAACATGATATTAGAGCTGTTATCCATTATAAGGAAAGTGTTGAAGATGAGTCTATGACCTCCTCTTCAGGGTCAACATTGACTTAATGAAGTTTATATCGGTCACATAATTCCAACGAGTTTTGCTAAGATTTACTTAAATGTCTGAAGAGGAGTTGAAAGTGGCTTTGTAGCAACAAAAAAAAAAAGAAAGAAATGGACGGAAATCAGAAAGTCAGAAATGGCGGTCAGAACGTGATAAGTCGCAGAGAGGGGAGGAGGAGAGACGGACTGAAAGATAGAACAAAGAATGGAGAAGGGGTTAGATGTCTCACCGTGGCAGAGAGCTGTACTGTCTCTGTGCTTGTTGAAAACCGTCTCTGTCCTCTTCCTGCTTCTTCTGTGCCTGAGTCTCCACTGTTACCGAATGGCGGCCGCTCTGTGTCTCCATCCCATTGCTCGCCTGTTAACATCGATCAAACAGAGCTCGTCAAGACACACTTCACTTCAGACACGGGCTAGAGAAGGCTAAACGCTGACACTTCTGTCTTTGAGCAAGAGAGTTACCATGCTTACATATGACTGATCAAAACAGACACACACACACACACACACACACACACACACACACACACACACACACACACACACACACACACACACACACACACACACACACACACACACACACAGAGATTAAGGAATATTTTTCCCTTAGCGCAGCAGGTGGTTTGACAGTGTGAAGCCTCCTGCGTTTGAGGCTACCCTCAGGGAACAGATAATTAACAGGTGTGATTCCATGATGACAATGGCTCTGGAAAATGCACCTGTGCCTGTGACAGTCCCAAACTAATCTTGTCAAATAAGAGATAAAGAAATGGTCTTTTCTACAAATTACAAACCCTACATGAACAGATCATTCCAACAAATTTAGTTGACAACAAGACCTCTAAAAGTAATAAATACAACAGATGTGTTTGCTTGGGCTTTTTGTGATGGGGCCAGATGTGTATATATATTGTATATGAATTTCCCAGTGTTTTGTTGTGCTGCGTATTTCTGGACAAACTAAACAACACAAAGAACTTTAAAAAAATGATTGGGTATTACCATACAAGCTTTACTTCCAAGAGGTGTGAATGTGTGTTTGTGGTCTGATCATTGGCGTGGTTGACATGGAGATATCGTCCTCCTCAACACTAAGCACACGCTGCTAACGAGCTGGTTGATGAAACAACATGACAAGCCAATTAAACACGGGTGGGCTGAGGAGGTGCTGCAAGTGTGTCTTGACCAAGTGTCAGCTTTCATGAGACTCATACAGTGCGGTGGGCAGGTGCTGACATTTCAGTTCAAATCAAAACAAACCTGTCATTTTTACTCTTTATTTGCCAGATGAATTTACAACGACCCTGATGAAGGCCACAAGCCAACACACGTCAGTCTGATTTGTTAATAAAGTTGATCTTCTTATTACAAAGTGTTGCTGGAGCTTGTTGACCTCTTCAAGCTGTTCACTCTTCATGCACCTTGATAGTTGGTGAAATTGTTGCCAGAAAAAATCCCACTCTGCTTCCAGTGGGGATTCTAGAGTCTGTTGGGGCCCCAGGCAAGACATATTTAGGGGGACCCAACAACCTGCATTATGTCTGCCATTGTCCTGATGCTTACTCCGCTTCCTATTTCTTCTTGGTGCATTTTCCCCTGTTGACATTCATTGACAAATTTTGGTTGTCACAGCAATATTGCATACAACGCTTGACAAGGCAATGAGAGTGAGTGCTGTCAAATAGGCCCATTTAGGGAGGTTTCCTACTGTCATTGCAACATTTGCACATTTTTGAGTGGCTACTGTGGTTTACAGTTTGTCAGCCCTCAGGGACCCCCTACTGGTCTATGGTCCCAAGCAGTTTCCTACCTTGCCTGTTGACAAGCAGCACCTCTGTCTGCATCTCCAGATGAGTTCAAAGAATCAGTGTTAGATAAGAAAGAGATTTTCTTCAACCTAGAGAATCTAAGTTGTGTGTATAAGTCCTTCCCTGTGAGGTAGGTAGGTGTAAAGGGTCAATACAACATGATGGAATCGTTTGACAAGGTTAAGGTGTGAGTTGGCAGATGGGAACGCTGTCAGCAGAAATGTCATTCCTGAAACATTGTGTGTTCTTGAAATGGCCGCGTCCTTCTTCTCTTGGACAGCTGCAATAACAGCGCAATTACATTTCACTCAGCGTCAATAATAAGTCTGTTCTCCAGCCGTCCAAGTCCTAAAACATGATATTTCACGTGGGCGACGTGAACAGGACTCATGTGTTTCACATTTTGCTGTAACAACATGTTCCCTTTCGGCTCTGAAAGTGTAGAGCACATAAACGAATATCAGATGGACAGTCGGGAAAAGGAGAAATTATTTTACTGGGACCAAATGCGGTGGTGAGACAATAATTAGTCACGCACACTCAAGAGTTTTTAATGTGATTTAAGAGGAAGTGGTGAGGAATCTGGAGGTGCTTGGCGGTTCAGTTTCAACCTGAAGGGTTGAGGTGGATGACGCCATTCAAAGAGAAATAACCAGGAGGGAAAATCAGTCAGTGTAATGGCATTATCCCAGGGAGGAGAATCAGATTATTCCATGTTAGGCCTGGAATACAATGCCACATAAAACATGACATTTGTTGAAATCGAATCAAAGAGACGTCCCTGTTCGTTTTTATCCAATCATGTGAAAAATGATGTCAATACAGCACGCTTTTATCTCTGCCTTGTTTCCGTGGTGCTTGTGACAGACAAAGGTGGGAGGGGGAAATAATTCCACACCTGTTTAAACATGAGAGCATTCGCAGACGGTGAGCCAGAGGGGACGTAATTATGAAAATTATTTGCAGCTATCAAAAAATCCAGGACCAAGGAAAGCAGCTGGGATAGAGAGTAGCTTCAGACGCTCAGAACAAGACAGCCAAGGTGTAGTATTTCTGAGTTCAGAGCTGGTCACAGACCTTCCAGATATCAAAGACGGCCATCACTATACGTATGGCTCTGCTGCCCGCAGCCCTCATGACGCTTTGCAGCTCACCACATAGGGAACAGTTTTGAAGAGAGCAGCTGTGCCGTACACAAACACACATATGGAGGTCATTTGAGTTGCTAATGGGCAGACAGAAAAAGAATGCATACTGACAAAAGCCCAGTAGGATAATGAGTCTCTCTTAAAGTCCTCACACAACCCAATTCCGGCAATTTATTATAAGCGAGCCCGGTCCATTTGTGGTCGCTGGGGTGTGCAGCTACGGGTGGAGTACCCATCTGGGGGCAAGCAGTGTGGTCTACCGTTTCCTGGCCCCTGGACCGGGCTTGTTCGGGCGGTGGTTTTGGTTTATCTCCACATAATTTAGTGGACTCAACGGCACAACTAAATGGCACAACAACATGTTTGAGTCTCAGTTTTCTAATCTGTATATGAATGTGTGTGGGGTAATAGTGCTGAAATATATTATGTTTACACAAAAGAAGTGTTATCGCTGTGCCCTCCTTTCCTTCCTTTGTTCTCGATCTAATCTGTAAACATGCACAGTTTTGGAATAAATTGAGAGTAATAAAAAAAGGCTGCACAGGCATGCTTGTGCATGGAGATGTGTGTCACATAGCAACACATTTTTTTTGTCTGTATAACATTTATTCACCACTTTTTAAAAAAAGCTCAATAGCATCATGTTTTTGAGGTGCCATTCAAATTGTTTTTTTTTCATGACAGTAGTAATCATGGGATCTGTAAGCCATGCTTGTCATGTGCATGTCATTCTACAACATGATCTATAATTCACCGTCAAGCCTTGACATCTTCCATTAGTACGGGTTGTGCAAACTCAGAGAAAGTGTTTCACAAGACTGATGGAAATCATCAATAATAATAACCAATACATTCGCGTTTTTCTGATCAAGGTAGCAACATGAGGATGATGACAATCCCCAAGAGGAAGAGTGGCATCGAGATTGACTAAGGTCAAACACCTAGGGAAGCTAGGGAGTGCCAATGCAATGGCTATGGTAGATGCACACAATCGTAGAAACAGCCATGTGGTTCTGCCCTATTCTTAGAAATCCTTGTAATTCTTTTCCTTTTTTTGAATGCAGGTTGAGCTGAAACTAAACTTTATTTAACCAGGAAAGAAACTCCAGATTAAGAATGTTTTTCAGGAGTGTCCTTGTTGATATGCAGGTCGCAGAAGAGGAGGGAAATTCATTCTGAAGAAAGACCACTTGCAAAAGTTCTTAAATGTCTGGATATAAACCCTGTTTCAATGGAGCCTCTTCTTTGTCTTCACACAAACATGTTTGCTTTTTTCTTCCTTTAGAATCTTTTTCATGTGAAGTGGTTCGAACCATTGGAATAGTCACACTGACACCACTGTAATCTAATTGTTGGATGCTAACAACACAAAATGGACCAACGTATGAATCTTCTGTAAACTTTTATACTGCGTTACAATGAATAAGATGAGAGTCAATGTCTGATAGAACAGGATAGCCTGACACTCGATTGTTACTGTCTTACTCTCCAACCAATGGCAGGCTTTTTGTGCATGGTCTACATCCTGTAAGTGCACGGTGCCCCCCCCCCAGAATGTTCGATGGCCATGTCTGAAACACAATAACATTTACATTGCAGCTTTACCGTCTGAACTTTTACCGTGAGCTCCTGAAAAGTGGCATATTTTTCCCCTGATCCCTTTGGAAACATTTAGCTGCACACCCACCAACATGAAAGCCCCCTGATTTAGAGTATCCCCAGTTTGCATAAACACAACAGATGCTCATAGGCACATGTATCCTGGTAGCTGGAGATAGAGCGATAATAAAATCAAAAGAATTCACATAAATAAGGAGTTTACAAGCTGCCGTTTGTGTGTTTGATCCAAGGTACCAGCATGGCGCTCACGCTCCTCTGTGTGGTCACACTCACTGCTGCTCCAACCCAACAGCACAAATTGATTTTATTGCCGCAGACAGAGATGGGGAGAGAAAAAGGCAACTCTTTGGAAAATACATCGAGCTTTATGATGAACATCTGGAAATCCCCTCTCTCACAGACTAGCAGGGAGGGAGGGAGAAAAAACACGCCAGCTGTAATTGTTGGCTTTTGGTGCTACACGAGAGACAGGGCTTCTCATGTCCCGGTCATTATTCCATTAAGGAGGGGGTTGGAGGAGGTTCAGGGACTGACCCCAGCATTGTCATTACAGGTGATCACTGGGGACATACGCAGACTCAGACTCTGACACCCCAGAGACAGGCCAGGGTTAGAATCACAGAGAGAAAGCCTCCCCCCCTCAAACTGCTCCAGATGCTCCCCTTTGATAGGATCATCATTTTCTTTTACGATTGTTCTCTTCAACCCCAAAACATTTTCAAAAAGTTTGTTTGAAATCAAAGGAAGAGGATATTGAGAAATACAAGACACACTGTCAGACTTAGATTGACCAGCAATCCCAATAAAATATCTTATGTATATAAATTAGTTATATGCTTTTTGTAAAGTGTCTTAAGATAACACTTGTTATGAATTGGCGCTATACAAATAAAGATTGCTTGATTGATATGCATGTTGGAGTAATCCCAGGATAAGTCTGCATAGGGCGCTAAAACGGTTTGTTCTGCAAGTCCCGCAATAGTTTCCTGATATGAAACCAAGAATTTCAAGAGATGGCTTCAAGCCTAGAAAAAGCCGCTAAAACCTCTTACAGAGACTCTCTTCTCCCAGCACTGGAGAACAGCCCTCCCCTCGTAGCCCTGCAGTGTTCTGCCCTCGAAGGCTTCCAGTGAGCTGGACAATCAGAAGACAGTTTGCTCGTGGGGCGGGGGGCCCTTAAAGAGACAGCAGCTGAAACAAACTGTTTCAGTCAGAAGCTGAAATTAGGGTTTTTACTGACTGCCAGATAAATAATGCATCATGATCTTTAAGTGAGCGTGGAAAAGATGGTCTTCAAAGTGCAAATCAAACAGAAAAAGTTGACATTTTAACATCTGGTACTGCCTCACCTGTTGGTGATGATGGAGACTGATCCATCGCTACATAAAGGACATGAAGATGAGATTATCTTTTCAGTATTACGTACGTTTTCTGGATCTGAAATCTGGAATATTAAGCTGGTAGTATTTGTTTCATACGAGATACAGTATAAATATTACATCTGAGCCATGTCTTCAAATGCTAGAGGCTGCTCCTGTTCTGATTTGTAAATCTGTGTGGGAGCCATTACGATGTAACCTTGAGTACTCAAGGACAACGTGCATCAAAAAGCCGTTCTGTACTCTTTAATGTGGTAAGCATTTAACTGCCTTCTTCAGCCACTCGCTTTATTCTGGTTACGTTTACTGAGTGTTTTGATTTAGAGAAAAGTGAAGGTCACAGAGGCTTCACTTTCATCCATGTGGACACAATTTAGTAACTGTAAGAAAAAAGAACGACTTCAGTTTCTGAAGAACCATCAGGCTGTGATTTTACAGGACGGGTCAAAGTGATTTTTTTTAATCTAATACCTCCACGTATATTTAAAAAAATCAATGGTTTGATTTTATGAAAGTTCTTTCACATGTTCAGCTCCAAAATTAATCTAAAAATAAAGATTTTATTGATACTGCAAGTGAAGAAGATTTTTTTTCTCCCTGTCTTGGCCTTGCTTTTGTATGTATATTTGTGAAGATGTTTTTCTCTTCACAACGTCTAAAGGCCAACTCATATTTTTGTAAAAGTCTTCTTTATTGTCAGTTTTACCCGTACATACTGGAAATACGGAATAATAGAAAAATCATTTCAAAAGTGTAAACCATATAAAATGCAAATACAAAAGTACAAAGATGCTGTGCAAAAAGATTTAGAGCAACAGCAACAACAAATGTGCTTGGATTTGAACTAAATATATACATATATAAGGCACAAACTTCGAGAAAAGATGGTGCTCCAGTGTATTTTTTAAGTCCTTTGTCTTTTAAAGTGATAGATGCTTCTGTGTCCCTGATGAGGTGAGGACAGTATAAGTTTTAAACTGACATTAGTGGAAAGTGTCCGCTGCTTATTTTGATTTTCCTGTTGAGGCGGGCAGAGAGAGAGAGAGAGACGTTTTCTTGCCGTTTTTTTTTAGGAATTTAAATGCTTGCTCCTTCCGCATCAAATAGAGCCGTATACATTCTGCTTTGGCTGACACTACGACATGATTTCCCTCGAGTTCCTCTAATCAGTGTCAAAACATTACACGGTACGCCTGTGTCGTTCCCTAACAAGCACTGCCATTGTGAATCTGTGTTTGCAGGACTGTAATAACATGAAAGAGGACTAATAAAATAGACTCCAATGCTCAAGGGCCGGCCCTATATCTTATTACCAGTGGAATAGTGGGGCTACGCTCAACAATGTCAACAATCACAAGCAATTAGGAGCTCAGAGGCTCCGAGAGAAAGACGGCGACAGAGACGGCTTTGTGCCGAACAAACGGTTAATATCTCATTCTGACAGAGAGGATGGGAAGAGAGAGTGATTGAGGAAATATTGGAGAGTAATGTCCATTTTCAAACCACCAACAGGACTAAATCTGAAGGAAATCCAGAGTAAATGAAGTCTGCTTTCCTGGGTAAGAAGATAAATGGTTAGGAAGTACGCTGTTATGTCTAACCTCATTCAGACAATAGGAACCGCCCGAACATCCTGCCACATCAGACCTCCACTCCAAACCCACTGAGATTACAAAATGACACCGAGATTTTTCCAGAAAACGGGATGCCAAATATTTTAACACTCAAGGTCTGACATTCTGACCCATAATTTAGAAAATAGCTCTGCCGGGTGTTAGAATTAGCCTTCTTTTTTTTCCCTCCAGGCCAGGGAAGTCATTGGACAAAACGTTGCATCTGTCTCAAGCCATTGCACTGAGAAAATACACAAAATTATGACAGCTGACCAAGCAGCAACCTCTGGTGTTGTAAATTTAAAGCCAATGTGGAAGTAAAAATCCTGCAGTTCCTCGAGTGTCCACTTGAGGCTGGCTGCAGAAGCAGTTCTTGCTTGAGTTTGTCTCGATTATTCTTTGGTTTATTTTAAAATTAGAATGATTTAAGGATGGTAACTGAAGTGTAAACCACTGAACTATCAGCAATGATAAAACATGTGTGTGGAGAGATGAACTAAAACGTTTCTTTACTTTTAGTCTTTGCACAGCCGGAATTTGTGAGTTCAAGTCGGACTGAATTAACAAAGGCATTAACTTGATTACATTTTTTCCAATTATGAGGAGTAAATCCCCATTGTTGGTTCAGATCAATCATGGGAGAGGAGACCGGCTTAAAAAAAAAATCATTTTTTAATTTAAAAAATTTAATATATAAACCCTTTTAATCAAGTGTAATGAAAATTAAACTGAACAGTGTGACTCACTGTCTTCTGTCCCTGTTACTTTGCCTCAAAGTCCTGAATAGTCGCTCATTATTGAATGTTTTTCTTTGTTCGTTTCTTCTCCTCCTTCCTGCCATCAATGTCTCATATTTAAAAAGACAGAAAAGACACGGACAGAGAGGACTAATTAGAAAATTAGTTCCAGGTCAAAGGTCGGACCCGGAAATTAGAAATGAGTCAAAGAGATTTGGCAGAAGTTGGGACTGAAGCCACAAGTTTTTATCGACACAGTTCAGACAGTTGGGCAGTGGTACAACGCTGACAATCCAAATACATGAAAGTGTCAAGAAACACTGCAACTTGATGTTGTGCCAGGCGCCATGCTGTGTTTTATCAATTATTATTCATTTCACCAGTAAGATTGTTATTTCCGTTAATCCCTGGATGCAGGAATGTATTCCTCTGATTACAGTCTGCAGATATTTATAACAAAAGAAGAGCTTCCCTGGGAGTGATGGCAGGGAACAAGTGAGTTTATGCTCAGTGCTTTCTATTCCCAGATTTATCTTTGCTTCACAACATCAGTTGAAAGAAATGACCTTCTCTACATTTCCTTGATTTTTCACATGTTGCTAAATAGTCACACATGGCATTGCAGCCATGAATCTGTCTTGTTGTTGTTTCTCTGTTTGTCTCTTTTCATCTTTCTTTCTGCAGGATAACAGTCTCAGCAAATGACTGTTCAGGTGTCTGCCTTTGCTAAGTATGGCCAAGTGTCTTGCTCATGGTGGATTAGTGTTGGGTCTCTGTTAATAATAAAACCAAGAGTACGATCTAATCCTGCTCCTGCTTTTTGTAAAGTGACTTCAGATAACATTTGTCATGAATCAAAACTGTAAAAAACGAGACTGATTGATCGATATGGAAAATTGTTGATGTGTGCAAAGTATGTTTCACATTTGCTAACACTTGAGTTCTCTGTCTTTCAAATGTGATGTCATGTGTAGCTGTGTCAGTACATGCTGCTAAATATAGGAGCACTGAAAACATTGGAATTTACATATCTTCACACATCACACCACGTAAACATCCCAATGTTTACCATGCAAGCTCAAAGTGCAACACACATAGTCAACACATGTCACATGTTATCACATGCTGTTTTCTGCACAAATGAAGTGCATGTGTTTGCTCTATAAGGGGAGACAATTACTCATTTGTTGGTGCCAGAGTATTGTTCTGTGTTAAAGGGGTGCATGTGTTAAAGGATGGTCATGTCATCACAGGATGAGTTAAAGAAATAAGGGTTGGATCAAGTTCAGTTGGATTTGAAATTATTTGAGTGTGAGAAATCCATGAGACAGCCGGTGGGTGTGGAGATAACCTGAGTGTCCAGTGGTGCATCAGGGAGAATCCCTCTAAGAGCTCTGAGTGTCAGGTATTTCGTTGTATTCTGTGCAGTGTCACTCTTGATGGAGCGCAGCTGCTATCTCACACTCACCCAGGACTGCTCTAAGCTGTAGGTGTGTCGATGGTCCTCCAGGTCGTCCTCTTGCCGGGCCTGCTGGAACTCGTGCCTCAGCCGCTGTATCCGGTCATGGTTACTGGGAGCCATCTGACTGCTGGAGAGAAACAGAGGATGTGAGATAGTTCAACTTGATAGCATGCTGAATGATGCTTTGGTGATAACTCTTCAGCAACACCTGGAACATAAGTCTACTTATCATGCTGTTACTGATGCTTCTTCACATTTGAATAATTCACTTGACCACTGTAACACCCCTTTAAGTTGTGATGGGATTCCCTTCATCTGACAGTTGCGATGTTCTTTTGCATACCTGACTGACTGACATCTCTGAGTGTTTTTTTTTCTTCTCACCCTCCTTCTCTCTCCAGTCTTTGCTCCTGAACATCTCTATAACTGAAAGTGTCCCTCGTGCACCATTGTGAGTGAAGCATGTCCCTTTTAGACCGCAGGAGAATGTTGGCCTTTTATGGTGCGCAGTCATTAAACACTGTGGAAAACCCTCATTTACATCCCCTTCATTAAGGGGCTTTGAGGGGGCTGTCAATAGGAATCAATAGCCTTTCCTCAGCTTAATCAGGCTCTTCTTTTATCACCAGCTACAGAGGCAGCACATGACAAAACACATAATTATGATGAGACAACCGGCCGGATAATAGGCCTGCATTTATGCATACCACAGGGATGAAAGTGACCAAAGGTTAGGAATTTGTGCTGGGAGGGAATGGGAGCTCGGGGATGTAGGGAATGGGATTGATAGGGTGAGGGAAGGAAAGGGAGATAAAGTTAGGAGAGCTATTCTAGGGGATTTTTCTGAGTAAAAAGAGGGAAAAAGGTTAATCAAAAGCATGTGAGAGAAGGGAAAGGGATAAAGAGAGCTAGGCCCTGTCACCCTGTCATTGTGTGTGTCCTCCTGAGAAGCACTTACAGGTGGCATCGCAGCGGTGGAAGTGATTGCTTATTTGGGCCCGGAGGATTCTGGGCGCAATTATGCCAATAATTGCCGATTAGAAGGAGCACATCCTCCGGATGATAATGGGCACTAGGACATGCTGCCAATCAACCGTCATTAAAAGCACAATAAATAGGAGCTCATAAAGGATGAGCGGATCTCGGTGCATGCCCCTGAGAAGCACTTGGCGAGACGCGGTCATTGTGTTATTCGTACTGCCTGATCTAAATCAATTGTATTAGTTATACTCCATTTGATCCCTTTGGCTTCATATGTGAGTGGGAGAGCAGGAGCATACATTAGGCGTTTTATGTGGATGAGGGCAATTAAGTGGCTTGTTGGGGTGTGAGTAAGCTTATGCTTTTAGGGTGTGGGCTGATGATGAAGTCCTTCTATTACTGTTCATTGCAAAATCAATGTTGCTGTTATATTTGCATCATGTTGCTGCAATAGCCCATGGGATGTTAAAAAATTAAATTACTTAATTGTAGCCTACTATAAACAACATAATCATGCATACAAATCAATGAAGACACTCAAGAGGCTATAAAGACCTAGTGTTTTCCTAGTGTTCCTGTTTGACCACTCCACCCCACACAACTACTCCATCTGTGTGTTGATGCAAAAACACCGGCACACCCAAGAAACATTTCAAGAACGTGTGTGTTCCTTGGTGACACCCCATGACACTTCAGGAATCAACTAAAAACAAGTCTGCGATGCTGCAAATGTTTGATTATGTTTGTCTTCTACACATGTTGAATTACAGTTCATGTCATCTTTCCTGCAATATGGTTAGGGTGAGGGTTAAGAAGAAAGGGAAAGATGCAAACAGACCATACAAAGATCTTGGAAGTGCAATGCATGCAGTTAGATTCATCCTTGTGCCCGGTCAAAGAGAAGACCAGGCTGACTCTGAAACAAACAGCATCGTAAATTTTTCTCTTTGACCCTCCAGGGAGGGTCAGTGCTAGCATCAGCATCTCCAACATGCACTACTGGGCAAGAGGAACCAAGAGGGAGCAGCTGGGGAGACTGAAAAAGGGCCACAACCCAGGCTATAAAGCATGCTGCTTGAGTCCATATACACTTTGTTCACATTAGGACCTATTGCCCTGGTCTCACCCAAAGCATCAATCTAAGGAAGGGGGTGGGCGTGTATATCACTACATTTCTTCTCCAGTGTGGTAGATGAAGTGGTGGGCAATGGAATGGGAGAAGATCAACAAAGACGAGATCTCCGGCAAATTAAAGAACTACCAGCGAGGCACTTCAATATATTTTTCAAAGCGCTACAAATGGAAATTGCATTGCGTAGTAGAGGCCGGGAGTGGGGGTGAGATTTAACGAGGGGTGAATTTGTCATGGCAGTTCAAAGGAGGACTGTGCAATATCTAGATTATCTGCAGGGGCTTCTCCGCATGGTCCTTTACTCAGCGGGGGGGGGGGGGGGAGTTGATGGGATTCTTGGAAAGCTCTCTGTGGAATTCTTCTGTGTAAATAAATTCATGTGGTAAGAAGAAAGGAAAAATCAAAAACTAGGCAATGAGGAAGAGCAGGAAGAGCAGGAAGAGCAGGAAGAGCAGGAAGCAAGCCCGAGAGGGACCAGAAGCTGCTCACTATCAGTGTAGGAGCAGCAGTCGACCTGTTTCCGTAAATAAAGAAGATGGATTCAGCCGCCGTCCCTGAGAGCTCCCTAATGCGCGCCAACTTGGATGTGTAATTAGTCAGCATAAGTGTTACAGATGCATCAGGTGTCACTGCTTATAAATCCCACTGTGAATACATCAACGTCTATAATGGCCGTGCAGAACAAGAGCTGAGAGGAAAGATTGGGGAAAAAACTGTTTGCAATTTACGATAAATTAGGATTAGATAATTAGGATAAAAGTGTCAACCCCAGCCAGCAAAGAACGGGTATGACTGAATATGAATGAGAGTCGCTCATCAGCTTGCTCTAAGCCATGTGTTTGCGCATAAGGGAAAAAGGTCACAGGTTGTGCAAGTGTACTCAGAGGTACCGGCAGGCTGTCTGCATCATGATCATATGAGCTCGCAGGGCTTAGTCCCAGCGCAGCCTTTTCTCCGAAAGACCACTTTTAAATGTGAGTCAACGGAAAATTGGATGCTGTCGGTGAGGTAATTAAAAAACATGGGGGGAGATAAAGTATCCATATGCCACTGCATTTTTCACAGCCAGCATCTTCATTCTCTGCTGTATAATGAGGTTTGCTTAAAATTCATCGGTGTTCACAGAGTGAAATGTCAGCGTTTGGCCTCTCAGGTCAGCCATGTCGTCTCCCAAATGCTCGCAAACCGACCCACAGCAACATGGACTGCATCACATAAGCTGTATGACAAAGACACAAAGAGGCCGACACACACACTCTCTCACTATCTGCATCTCCCTGGCTGTCTCCTCCTCACTTTACAAACACTTGCATTGAGTCAAGTCACACCGCTGCTGTATTTATAGCTGGGCTGAAAGCTTATTCTGACGGCTTATTGGCAAAGGTGGACTTGTGAATTCATATGCATGCCCAGTCAGGTCAAACAACAACAAGGATTCAAGCCCATCTGAGAACAACCAACCCTCTACTGATCTCTTTCTCCTCTCCTCTCCTGCTGTTTCGACTGCTCCTCATTAAAAAGGGATTACAAAAACTAGTAGTAGTAGGTTTATGCCAAAATAAAAAAAAAGCCTACAGCCTTTTGAGCTTGTATTTGAGGATAACTTTGTGATTACATTATACTTTTTCAACACCTTAGAACATCATTCCTTGAACAAAAGCATATCTGTTAGTGACTCTGAAGAGCCAACATGTGCTCATGTACATACAAATGTGTGACCCCCATCCCACCTGTGTTTTTTAACCTAACCTGTTGACAGGGGTCATGAGCCCTCCAAAGCTGCAGTTGGGGGTATGTGGATGCCTGTCTGTGTAATAGTCATCCTTTGATCCTGGAGGATTTGGCAGATGTCTCACACACACCACAAGGCTTAGGCTGAGGATTCAAACTATGGCCGAGTCCCTGTTTGCTTCTGTTGGTGGATCAAAGCCGCGCTGAGTCTCGGCATGCCCTATAAACACTGCCACCAGCCAATAAAGGAGTAATCCAATCACCGAGAGTGTAACATGGGTCATATGAGCATACCTAAGGTCAGGGGGCCAGTACCAGCCAATCAGAATGAGAGCAGGGCAAGTGTGATAATCCTGGGGATAGCGTTTCAGGAGAAGTTTGACAGGAGTTCTGAGAGTTGTCGCAGACTTGCTCTTCTTCCGAGCAGGGAGGAAAAGGCTGAACTGCTGGGGCGTCCGTGTGACTTTAAAATCAGACAGTCTGTTATATCTTATCTGATCACTGTTGATTGAAATTCTATCAGATTATCTGGTTTCTTGCTCCGGCCCCAGTATCTCCACGCAGCAGATGACAGGGCAGCTTCTTAAATTTGGCCCCGTTGGCAATCTTGCATCAAGTCAAAGGCTTAGCTCATCTTTATTCCATCGCCCTGTGGACTTTCATTTATTTCAAAGACAGAAAGATGAGGCATTTTTTGAGGAGATGGACAGCCTTTGGGACCCACCGCAATGATAGAAAAAGATTAGATCTGCATTTCCGCTGGTCATTTTTGAAGGGGAGAGGGATGGAGATAAAACATTTTTTTGAGCCTTCAGAGGAAATCAGCATATATCGGCACGTCTGCCGTGATTCTTGCAATCAAACCAAAGCATTTGAACCATATTGCCCTTACCCTGCATTCTTTTCCTCTCCATTTTATGGTTCCCAATTTAAAAAAAACCAAAAAACACTCCTATCTTTTTCATTTGCCTCATCTTTCGTCTTTATATTTCTTATTTTTTTACCCATATGTTTTATCTCTGAATGCCTCAATCCTCCTCTGCGGATACAGGGATAGGTCATGAATTCCCTTCTGTCCCCCTCATCATCTCCCACTAGCCTGGTAAGTGACAGCTGCAGGCTGGACAAAGGCTTGATAATACCCTGGATTTGTCAGGCTCTGACTTCACCCATGTCCTCCTGTGACTGATGCACTGACAGTGGCGCCTTGCCAGCTAAAAACCCTACTTCTTGATGCGGGCTGTTGCTCTTGTTGAGCTTGGTGTGAATTCATTTATATGTGT